GGGGGGGGGGGGGAGACCAAGCACCTGACAACAGAAGAAATTCACATCATCTCACTGCACTTAATTCACAGCACTCATAATCCCCTCTAGATTCATTTTTCAAGTGATTAATGATCTGGCTGGTTTGAGCTAATACCAAGATCTAAATGAAAAAGGCACCCAGAAGGGCAATTCTAGAAGTGAAAAGCAGCAATAAAACTTCATTTAGAATCACATATGATAAGATGCAATGTTATATCCACCCCCCCCCCGAAAATCATGTAAGTTGAACGCTAGTGTGTATTATACAGCAATAGGTATAATCGTCAAACAGTAAATATTAAGTCACTGATTGCCAAGGGTCCATTCAGTGGATTCTACTGCTCGACTGGCCATAGCAGCAGAGTCTCTCTCACTGCCCTGTAACAGAGATGGCCCTGCACTTTGGCCAACTGTTAGCACCGTAAGACTGTCTTTCAGTGAACTGTTTTGAATTGATTATTCTCGCTAAAAGTAGAGGGAAATGCTGGAAATGACTTTGTAATTTGAGCCACGCTATGACTATCTCATTCACCCACGTTGATTAGAATTCATGGATAATAAACCACTAAGCCTTGTTGAACATCTAACACTCCTGATTTCTCAATTGGCTAAAGATAGCCCTCACCCAGCAGCTATGAAAGGTCAACGGTGCAGTTTTGGACTGTAACAATTCTGTCCCTAAATTAGCAATAGTATTGAGGGGCTTTGGGTGCTTGACATATTGGCAGGGAAGTAATGGATGTTGAGAAGAGAAAGGGACTGGTTTGGGAAAGGGGCTTAAATGCACTCTAAGGTAGCACCAAGAAATTCCCAGGAGTCATGAACCAATCTAAGCCTGCTCTGATAGAGTTCAGCCCTTTAAGATTATACCTAAAGTGAAATTAACCTCTGAGAATTTAACACAGTTTAAGTTTTACTTGTGATTTCTATGACTGTTCTTCACTGAAATGTGGTTTGTTCCAATTAAAAGCTAGAATTCCAAGCTTGAGGATGAAAGAGAAAACTGATGGTATAGTCATCATTATCGTTGCCATAATCATAATAAGTAACCACAAACCCATAGCATTTGTATGCCAGCCCAGAGCTAGGCATTTCACATCGCAACTGATTCTCTCTACCATTAGCATCCAATTTTACAGATGAGGAAACTGAGGCATAGAAAGGTCAAGTAACTTACCAGGATCCCACATTTATTAAGTGAGACGGGATTCATGCCCAGAAAACCTGGTTGCATAATTGACTCCAACTATACTAGACTGACTTTCCCAGAGAGAAGCAGATATCATAGTGGCAAGAACCTTATCCTGTCAATGTCACTCACTTAACAGAAAAAAAAAAAAAGATAACTCATACATATTAGGCCTAAAGTAATGTGAGTGACCCAACATCGCACAGCTGGCTGTGGGAGAGTGAGAATAGATGGATCACCCTGAGCCCTTTCTCCTGCGCTGTGCTGGCTCTTAGATCCCTTTCACTCAGATGCTCCTACAGTCAATGCATCGGCCAGGAAGGTCCTGATGTGAGACGCAGAGCGACTTGCCCTTCTGCATATTGTGGGATCAATACAACTAGAAAAAGAAAAAGAGAAAGGTGACTAGACACTATAACCTTAGACTAAAGCTTAGAACTACTTATTAATTCAAAAAAATATATCTATTTATTAAGCACATAAAACACTGTGCCCAATACTGGGGACACGGTGGTGGAAAAATACAAATACAGTAGCAATTCCTTTTGCTGTAGAGTTTTGTTCCAGTAGAGAAGACAGATAATAAGTTAATTATCTGTCTTCTCTATTGTACTATAAATACTTAAAAAATAAATAGAAATCTGTAATAAAACATGACTGAAAAGAGTATGAGATTTTGAGAGTACTATCAGAATCAATGGTTCATCCGGTACAGGGATAAATTAAATATAGCTGCCTAAACTGATCAGGTGGGTGTAGGCACGCTTAACATACTTCTTTAATATTTCCTTAAATTTCCAAGTTAGAATGTCATTTGTGGTGTTATTAATTAATGAAGCCTGGACAAGGGGAATCTGTTTGAATTTTAGAAGCAAGTTGCTTGTCCTGCAATGAGCAAATTATGGTAAGGAGATCCATATACAGAATTTTATTTTAACATAACTCTTGCCTTTCTTTAGGTGCAACATATTGGAAATGAACTGATGCACCAATAGCCTTTGTTATTTGAAAATATGAAATGAGATACCCATAATTCAGAAATGCCAATTAAATGCAATTACAAATTCCTATATGATAATTTAAAAGAAAGACATTTCATATTATTCTCTATACGTGAAAAAAAGTTTTCCAGTTCAGACTAAACATTTATGTTTTATATTTTTCAGTTGAGCATAAGATTTCCTCTGTCAATGGAAAAGTTTCAAGACAATGTAATGATAGTAATCACTCAAAGACTGCGAGGTTATAAATTAAAACATTTGGCATAAAAAAAGTTTACAGTGTTTTCATGGTACCTTTTTAATGTTTAATAAGAAATACGATTTTTTGCACGGATTTTTTTAAATTGTAAAGCACGGCATGAAATGTTTTTTAGCAACTTTAAATGTGGTTATCTGTGGTGACTAGCTTTCTAATAAGGTAAACATAGATTAACAGTGATCCATCCTTGCCCGGCCGGGCATGGCTCAGCGGTTGAGCGTCAACCTAGGATCCAGGCGATCGGGGTTCGATTCCCGGTCAGGGCACATGCCCAGGTTGCGGGCTCGATCAATGGCTCTCTCATCATTGATGTTTCTCTCTCTCTCTCTCCCTCTCTTTTCCTCTCTCTGAAATCAATAAAGATATATTTAAAAAAAAAAAAGAGTGATCCTTCCAATGCCAGGTGCTTCTCTTAACTCTGTCCTTCTTTCTCTAGACCGTGTCGGTGTCAGTGTCCGTCCTCACACTGAGCTGCATCGCCTTGGATCGATGGTACGCGATCTGTCACCCTTTGATGTTCAAGAGCACGGCCAAGCGGGCCCGGAACAGCATCGTCATCATCTGGATCGTGTCCTGCATTATAATGATCCCCCAGGCCATCGTCATGGAGTGCAGCACCATGCTCCCCGGGCTGGCCAACAAAACCACCCTCTTTACAGTGTGCGACGAGCGCTGGGGAGGTAAGCGCATCTCGGCCCCCGAGCTGACGTTTCTATGACAGCCGCAAACTGAAAATTTAAATTGCAGAGCCATTGCGAAGCTGGCCTCGTGTACTTCATTGGCATTGGTTAGTACTGTGTAAAAGCATGAAAACAAGTCGAAGCCTAAAGCAGTTTCACAGAATAGCTCCACCTGGCTCGGTCCTTTTATGTATTGTTATCTAATTTTCAGATAAGGAATGAAAGGGGGAGTTTATTCCCCAATTCAGATCTGATTATGTTAGTTTTTGTTAAATGCTCTAAAACAAAAAGGACTCATTTATTTGAGTCCAAGTATGCGCATTTTATAAGATGGTACAACATTATCTTGCCTCGTGTCAAGCTCCCCAGTGGGCTTCACATGTCCTGCCTGGAAACATGACTAGAGTTGAGTGTGTGGACCAATGCTGTTCTCTGAGTCAAATTATCCAAACTTGCTGTCTCTGCTCATAACATATTAAACTGATAAAATTTATCCCTGGCACAATTATTATATAATTTAAGAATTATATGACTTATGAATCCTTTTTTCCCCTATCTGATGTGTTAGGAAGTTAAACTCAAACAAGCAGAAGCTTGGAGGTTTATATTCCTTTGGTCTAAAATTCTGAGTGACAGTCTTTGAGGTTTTTCTGCACCAGTGGAAGCACTTCTATCAATGCCTGGTAATGGCACAGATCTGAACCCAGCAAAGAAGGACAGGAAATTTTAAAATCCTGCATTTCAGCATAGCATGCACTAGTTACAAAATGATTGCATGAAATTTGAAGAAAAAAAAATCTGTCTTCTTCTGAATAAGTGTGTAACAATGGCTCATAATTATGGAATTTAAACATTAGGAAAGCGTTTGTTTATTAGAAAGCTGTACATTTATGCTCATTAGAAAGATGTATCCAAAGACAAACAGTGCACCCAAGGGATTGCTTATGAATCTGATATTTTTAAGTATTTGAATTTTTAAATTTATGTTATTTCCTACCCTGATACTTTTATTGGAACATTGAACAGAAAAAGAAAAAAAGTCAGGAACTAAAAAATTTCGCATATGCTTTCGCTATAGCAAGATAAAATTTAAAAGAAACTAGGATTATTTTGTACATTATCTGAAGTCCCATAATAACTAAATTTCACAATTTGCTTCTTCTATTACCCCAAATATTAAATGTCCTTTTTGTTGCTGAGATTTGCTCTTCTTTTCTAACATTTGGACAAAAGTTTACAGAGGGTCTCATATTTCAGCAAAGCACTGAAGCATCTGAATGCTTCAGACAGGGAAGAGGTACAGGGCGTCCCAAGAAGCAAGAAAATTCACACAATGGACACTGTCACTGGAAGAAGAAAGGAGGAGGGTCCTAACTGATGGCTTCAGGCATGTAGGGTTGTGTAGACTAGGGAATGGATTGTATCTGGATAGAAGGTGGGGTGGGGACCTATTGGGATATGTCTCTTACGCAATTGCTTTACAATGGGTTAGATTTGGCAGCAGCCTGAAGAGCTCTTGGTTAGAATCCTTTATTTAATTAATGATGAAACTGAGCCATACATTTTATGAAGCAAACAAGTACATTTAAATCTAAGCTTTCAACTCAAAGTTGGGATTCTTTAAGTTTATGGAGATGGTAATTAGATAAAACGCCCTCTTACTGTTCAATATGTGTCAGTAACGTTTTTACTAAAGTATTTTAGTAGTTTCATTTAGAAGTTTGTGGGCTTTTATAAACGTTTCCTTTTTTATATTGCCCTGAATAATCAGGTAGCATTAATTCTCATTAACAAAAAGTTTACAAAGCTAGGGAATTTTGACAGTTGTTATGATTAAGTAAATAGCCACATCACCTTCTCATTATCTTTGAGCAATAAATATATAAAACTCATTTCAACCTTGAGTATTTTTATTATCTAGCCCTAGCAGGGACATTTTTTTATAAGCAATTATTATTGTTGAATGCCTAAAAATCTAAACTCAGCCTTCAGAAGTCATTTAGGAAAAATATTTAAAAGTGATTTTATATTAGCCCATTATTGCTTAAAATTATTATAAAGACTAAAATTAAGTGGTGCCAAATTGAATTTGGTCATCCTCAAAATCAAACAATAAAAGCTATAAAATTAGCTTTTCAAATATTAAATAAAATTGTTAATCACAATGTTTTCAGAAGAATATAAAAGAATTCAAAGCAGGTTTTTAGTTTGCTCATTCGACATTTAGTTTATAATATTTTTTACATAGCATAAGCTCTGTCAATTTAGGCTATTTATAAGTCCATGTTCAACTTAAAATGTTATAATTCAGACATATGTCTGATACTTACGACCTTAAAACATCATAGGAATTATATTTTACAGCGTCAACTCTCTAAAGTTTAAACATCTTTAAAGTCTAGCACAGTTTTTTAAAATTTGTTGTGAACTGTGTTTCTTCTCTTTATCCTAAGTTATGTCAATAATGTAGTTATAAAATCAGACAGTGATATCATGGCTGTCTTGCAACCAATAGTACAGTGTGAACCGGGGCAGTAAACAATGCGGTCACTTGATTCATATCTATCAGATCGCCTTTGGGAAAGTCTGAAAAGTGCTGTCTCATTCATTGTGCAAAATAACCGAGAGCTCTGTCATACTGAAAATATTACCGGAAAGATGCAATATTTTATGGAACTCATTATATTCATCATTGCCTATGGCTTGTTGAGGGAAACAAAAAAGACTACAAACCATAACTTTTGGCAGGCACACTCAACACTTAAAAACAAATAAAATGCGTTAATATTTATTTTAATGATCTTAAAATATGTCTTTGTATATATTCATTGTTTGCTTCAATCACACCAATTCACACTTTTAAAATTTAAAAATTATTCCAGAATTACAACCATACTTTCTTGATTGCTTGGCTTATAAATGCAGTTTCACCGGATGGATCCTATTGGGAGGAAAGCAATGTTTCCTTTTTCACTCACTCAGTGATATAATTGTCTCATCCTTCAATCATCCCATTTTTAATGATCATGTACTATTTGTCAGACATAGTTCTGGACACTGGAAATTTCTTAATTTCTCTCCTTTTGGATTTTATTGCCATATTGTTCTTCAGTGGTCTGAAAAAAAAAAAAGAATGGGTCTCTTCTTTTCAGCCAAATTTATTATGGCATCTGGTCTTTTATGAGATTTTGAAAATATATAGATATGTATGTATGTGTATTAAAAGGAACATTACAATGTTTATTAGGGAGAAGATAAAATATATTAAAGATTCAAGTAAACTTTAGTGGGTCCATAAGCTTTGATAATGCAGTTCAAATTACATATTTGGGAAATTATTTTTAATTTACTTGTCCATTAAATCTCTGATATGTGTACCATGCAGGAGAAAATGTTTGTAGTTTTTAGATTATTAAATTAAATTAACATGTTGGCTCAAAAATGGACTTTAACTCATCTGAGAGAAATTAAGTTTTGCCTAATATATGATATTACCCTTTATTTTTTTAAATATGTTTTTATTGATTTCAGAGTGATATTACCCTTTAATCTCTGATTTCAAAGCTGAAATAAATACCCACATTTGCTCTTTATTTGTTGATTTGATATGTATGCAAGAATTTATTCAGATATGCCTATTCATCAGTTAAGTATAAACACCAATTTTTAATGGTTGTCAATCTTCAAAATGCTGTTTTATAATTTAGATTACCCTTAAGTGGAACAAATTTCATGTAGCTACATTCTAGATTATAGATAAATATTTTAAAATATATTTAAGACATTGCTCATCAAGTGCAGAGAGAGGCCAAAGACAATTTCAACACAGACAGTTTCCATGGTGTTTCTGGATTTCCAATCAGCTTAGACTCTAAGCATGAAATGAGGAATTTAAGATTATCATGTAACCCCAATTATCTATAACAATTTCTTTATTAAAACCAGCTATCCTAGCCTGAATGTATAATTTTGCTAATCAACTTTTCTGTGTGGGTGTTATCATAATATGCCTTTACCAGCCTATTACATGCCTTTCCAAGTATTTACATAAATATACTGACCTCTGAATGAGCTTTCTCTGCCATCTGTTTAAAACTTCAAACTGTTATCACAGTGATGGTATCCATAGCTGCAGTTTAAAAAAAAAAAGCCTATCAAAATCTACCTCCCTCCACTCACTCAATTTAGCCTGATGCAGACATCAAGGCTTCGCAGGTATGTAAGCTTCAAAGCCGTATTTTTATGTGGGGAGCTCATGTGACACCTTCTTTAAAACAAACAAAAGTTCAAAGCCACGTAGGTGTCTGGCAAGTGCTGAAGTCACTCTCTAGCTTGTTTGAAACTGCTCACCAAGTGCTGCTGGGGCCGTCGCACTTCAAAGGCAAAGGTTGTTTGTTATTTTCCAGTCAGGCTGCTGGGATTCTCTCACTTTTTTTTGGTAACTGGCCTGTTTTACCGGATAAAGTTGAAAGCGAGCTCGAAACTGATGAGCTAGGTGTGAGCCACTTGGGCCACAGAGAAGCTCGAAATGCCACGTTGGGCTCTTAGACCCCCTAACTGCACACGCACCCTGCTGTCTCCTCTGAAGATTACGCTGGGGAAAAATATCTATCAGAGAAAAAAGACAGAGTTGTAGAAGAAAGAAGAAGACGAATATTAAACTCAACCAACCCTACAAGATAAGGTTCTGAAATCAAGTGGAGATTATTCAACTCAAAGATATGTCTAAAATATATATTCAGTAAGAACTAAATGAATGATTGTTCAATAAATGTTATCGTTAGTATGATGACCATCACAATTATTATTAGTTGACCCTGACTGTAAATTGCCCTCACCCCATTTGATGGCATAACTGAGTCTCCAGGCTTCTATATGCCCCTTCTGAAGTAATGAAAGTAATAAAATGCAGAATGATATTTAGGATTATCATTCAGTGATAGTATGGAACCAACCCCATCGCCAATATCAAAGTCAAAGTAACTTGTATAATTTTTAGAAGTGAATAAAAAAAGCTTTGCTTTATTAGCTTTCGGTTAGAATTATGTCTAACTTTTGCATTTCATATCCATGAAATCCATGTAGGATATTTTCTGGTTTTTGTTTTACATTTAAGTAAAAGTGGCTGGATCACTGTAATATATTCAAATACTAGTGTAAGAAAAATACCCTTTAAATCATCTAAAAAGTCAGTGATGGATATATTTTAGCAAAGCCAAAAAAAATTAATGTTAATGCCATTCATTAATTGATGAATCATTTAATAAATACCTAATCCGTGATAACTCTCACTTGTGTTCATAGAATTAAGTATAAGTAAGAAATAGCAATAATCCTACAAATGCTAATTAGTAATAAGTGAGATGAATGTGAAAAGGACAATACCCATGTCGGTTTAAAAATTAGCTTTAAAAAACCATAAAAAATATCTTATTGAAAGTAAATGGATACATACATATACACACACACAACGTACTTAATGATTAATTTTGTATATGTTCTTGTAAGTCAGCAAAAAGAATTATTTTGAATGTTTGCTGAATTCATTTTTCTGAATTTTTCCACATTGGAAGGTCCAGCTGGGAATAGCTTCTGATTTCTCAAGAAAGTTATATTCTAAGGAGGAGGAATCAACTGAGTTTCCATTATCTTACTATTTTAGCAAAAGCATTAGTAATTGGGTTTGGATTGAGTCCTGTCCCTTCTTGTAAATGCAAGTATAGGAAAATCCAATTTAGTTTTTATTAATTAGCCACATGTAATCAAAACAAAAAAAGGCTTTCAATAAATGAACAATTGACTGGATAGACTTTGGCAGCACAAATTAAGAAATAGCTAATTGTTATTCCTCTCTAAGTCATTAAATGGAATTACAACTTCACATTTAGTACATATACAAAGTGAGTAAATGAAATAGTCAATATTGTAAATTATTTTTCCCTTTTGTGCATATATGTGCCAGTGAAATAATATAGAAGGGAAATCTGTACTTTGAGAGCAGAACATTGACAAAGTTACCTTTAAAAATATTTATGAATTATAAGATTTTATTATTTTGACTTTCATTCCAGGTGAAATCTACCCCAAGATGTATCACATCTGTTTCTTTCTGGTGACATACATGGCACCACTGTGTCTCATGGTGTTGGCCTACCTGCAAATATTTCGTAAACTCTGGTGCCGACAGGTATATATTTCAAATAATTTCCTTGTTTTTTCTTCAGGATGTGCTTAAAAACAAAATTTAAGAGTAGATTGAGCCAACATAGTATGCTTAGCAAAGGATTGTGTATTTTTCTAAAACAAGGCTCTAGCCATGGCAATATGTCCAGGCATTATTTAGAGTGATATTTAGGGAATGTATTTTATGAACTGCCTTAATGACTTTAAATTTTAAACCTCTATGATTAATTGACTTGATTTTTGTCTAGGACTGATATTATAAATTTTATTTTATGAAAAATAACCAATAAAAATTCCATTAAAGTTTCCTGAGACTGTAAGTAAAGAACATTACATTTTTGATGGGATTTATGTGATACATTTTTATTATATGGGTTAAATCTCCAACTTCAAAGACTTTTTTTTTTTTAGAACAGTAGAAGAATCAAGCAGAATTTAGTGTTTTAGAAACTGTTTATAGTGTTGATTTGGGAGTACTAAAATTTGTTAGATAATGTTGCTTTTTCCAGTTAATGCGTTAAATCACTCAGTTGCTCATTCATCAAACATTTATTGTATTTTTTGTATGTGTATCTGATGAAAAGCTAAAAGTCTGTTCATTGATGAATTCATTGTCTACAGAAAGGAAACAGTCAGATGCAGAGTGAAAATTGCCTTAATAAATATAAGTATGGGGAATCAGAGGAAGGCTTAGCGGAGGGGAATCTGTTTCAAATCAGGAAGCATTTAAGCTGAACCTTGATTGGTGGGATATCACCAACCAACACATATAGTGGTGTATAAAGGTATAGACAAAGGATACAGCTCAGCCTCTTATATTCATAAATTGTATATTAAAATGACATTACTTTCAAATGTATATCTCTGTCTCTAAATTTATTGCCAGGACTTTGAGCTTACCTGGCTTGGGAAAAGCCATTCCCTTAGTCTCTTTGCTCTGACACATTTTACCCAACTGAAAGAATTTGTTGGGCCACTTTAATTCATTAAAATAATTTCACACACCTTTTATTTGGTTTTTGTCTGAGGGCAATTCATGTGATTCTTCTTCAACCCCTGCCATACAAAGCAATTTTCAAGATCATCTTTTAGTGGTTGGATATGAGCAACAGTTGCATTTTTCAACACTGTATGTCTCATAATTCCAAACTTTTTCTTTTCCTCTATTTTTGCAAAGAAGTCCTTTCTTTCATGATCTCATAAATGCAACCAGTAGCAAAACTTATTAGCATTCTGTTTCCCAATTTTCTTTTTTAACTAAAATAACGAATGTGTACCACCGTAAAACACAGGTGGTGATTTTCCAGATCCTAATGATAGTTTCCTCATCACTCTCTACCTGACCATGAAGCCACAAGGAATCTTTTTTTTTTTTTTAAATCCTCACCCAAGGATATGTTTTTATTGATTTTAGAGAGAGAGGAAGTGAGACAGAGAGAGAAAAACATTGATGTGAGAGAGAAACATCAATCAGTTGTCTCCCGTACTCCCCCCGACCAGGATCAAACCCGCAACCTAGGTGTGTGCCCTGACTGGGAACAGAACCTGCAACCTTTCTGGTGTAGGGGTGATGCTCGAACCAACTGACCCACCTGGCTGGGGTACACTGGTCAGTTTTTGCTAGGTTATTCCACTCTTATAAAACAAAACAAAACAACCCCCTCCAAAGCATGTGGCTTGCAACAGCAGCTCGTCTCACTCCTGTTCCACGCCGCTGGGGCGGGTGGGCTGGGACTAGCTCGCTGGTCCTCTCATTCCCCAACTCAGTCTGAAGGGACAGCGCTTCCTGGAACATGCCATTCTGGGGCTGAGGGAAAAGGCAAGGATGCTGGAAGAAACATGTGATGTCTCTTAAAATTCGAACTAGTATATGTTATGTCTCCCCAGTTTTCATTTGTCAAAACAAGCCATGTGGTTAAGCTCGACCGTGAAGAAGGGAAGTGTCCTTTACTCACAGAAAGACCCTGCGAGTCAAAGGGCAGTGGGGATCTTAGAAGCCTGGGAGTGAATAACGAAATGAGAGGGTGCAGACAAGTCATAACATAGACTCAAGGCCCAGACTGTATGAGTTTAAGTCCTCACTCTGCAACTTAATCCATACATGAATTTTGTTAGTTCCTTCCATTTCTGTGTCTTGCTCTGATCATCTTTAAAGTGCAGTTATATAGCATCTACATCAGAGTGTTGTTACATGTAGTAGATGAATTAATTCAAGTGCTTAGCACATAGAAAGTGTTCATTAAATAAAATTTGCATAGTATATTATTTAAATAAAATATTTGCATAGTAAATGCTGTTATGCAACCTTTTTAAATAATTCTGCTTGTATTTTTAAAATAACAAGCATGGGTTGAATGAATGTATATGACTACTTTCTTAAATAGTACTCTTTTGTAGCACTTTTAAATAACATTATAATGTCTTTTTTGTCTATCTCCCCTACTCTACTAAGTTGAAAACAGTACACTCTCACCTTCATCTTGTATCTTTCCAATTCATACATGCTTAGCCCATATTAGTTTTTGCTCAATAAATAGTTTATGAGAAAAAATTGAGTAAAAGAATAAGTGCTAAAAAATGTTTAGATACAGGAAAACAAGGGGAATCCATTGCCTGGTTACTCAGAAAAAAATGTTCAGAAGAAAATTAGAACTTGAAAATATTCTTAGAAAAAGCATTTAATGAGCCTGTAAGAATAAAAATATTTTAGATTTAGACAGATTTAGATTTAGATGTTCAGTGTTAAGAGCATTTCCTAGTTTT